ATATCTTATTTTGAAGTAAAAAAACAAATGTTTTCGGCGGGCTGCATGTGGCCCGCGGGCCGTAGTTTGAGGACCCCTGCTACAGAGAGTCTGTATATAAGTATATACATTTCTCCATTGGGAATATCTGCATTTAACTTCTAGATGTCTGTAAGGTCCTTATTTTTATACCCTCGCCGGTGTGGCTAAGTGGTTAGAGCATCGGCCCATGCTCTATCCACTGAGCCAAGGCTAGGGCAAGTGCAATGTTTTTTTAAAGTTTTTTTTTTTCCCAATGTGAAAATTACTACATGAAATGCAAAATCTAAGTGTTAATGTGCTTAGTTTTGATTTAGTAATATTATTGTAGAGCTGCCCTAGCAGGTGCTTAACTTTCTTGACTGACAGAATTGCAACAATAACAATCCTCACTGGAGGACAAACTGCGGGGGGGGGGGGGGGGGGGGGGGCGGGGGGGGTGGTTAGAAGGGAAGGGGAAGGGGAGGGGAAGAAAAAGAGAGAAACATTGATGGTTGGCTGCCTTCTGCACGCACGTACCCCTACTGGGGATTGAACCAACAACCCAAGTATGTGCCCTGACCCGGAACTGAACTGGCAACCAAGTGGTGCACAGGATGATACTAAACCTAGTGAGCCAGTCCTACTGAGCTTCCTTTTTTTGTTGTCACTATTTTCAGAGAGATACAATCAGTTCTTGGCTACATTCTACAACAATGTGTACTAATTTTCTGGGACAGTTCCAGTTTAATATATTTGATAAATTATCCCCAAAAGGCAATTGAATATTTCATTGAAAATTCAGCAAGTGAGCCCGCTGTAGTGGCTCAGTTGGTTGAGCATTGTCCCCTGCACTGAGAAGTTGCAGTTTGCATTCCTGTTCAGTGTATATGCCTGGGTTGCAGGTTTGATCTCAGGTCAGGGAGTGCACGGAAGGCAACCCATCTCTCTCTCTCTCTCTTTCTTTCTCTCTGCACCCCCCTCCCCCCCGCCTTTTCTCTGTAAGTATGTCCTTTAAAAAAAGAAAACTCAGCAAGCTAATTAAACCAGTAAGTGCTATAATAAAAATGCTTGTCACAAACTAGGATGGATCAGAGTGAAGAACCCTCATACTTAGAAAAGTTTACCAGCCTGTGTAATACAATTTTTTAGTTAGATATGGTTTGTTAGGTACTTTTCTAGTAAAAAGCATGTGATGCCAAAAGTGATACAACATGGGGATAGCAAAGAAGAATATATATTATGTATGTGGTGCTTACTATGTGCCAAATGATATTCCAGATGATGGGAATAGAGCAGTGAATAAGACAAAATAAGGTTTCTGTAAGTGCAATTATCAAAACTCAAGGTTAATCTTGTTTTGTCTGTGCCTTCACTGCTTTTCTCTTTCTCGGATTATTTAGAAGTAAATCCAAGATACCATATTTCAAATGCAAATAAATATTTCATTGTGTATCTCTAACAGATAAGCATGCTAAAAGGGGGTGCTTATGCATTAAAATTTTTATTTTAAATATTTTTGTGTTAAATTGTGTGCAAAATATATTTTATTGACATTGGAGAATAAGTAATTTCAAAGAAATAGTAATCCTCATAATCTGTATCCAGCCTAATAATTTCATTGAGTTCATTTTTGGTTAATTGAAAATGATCCCTTTTATCCTCAAAAACCTTTTAAGTTTTACTTTGTAAGTTCTAGTTTTTATTTTTGGTTTGTATGTAATGGTGCCATTGTTTTCTAAGATATTTCTAAAATGAAGGTTCCAAACATACCAGTCCTGAAGCCTTGTGTACTTTTGCTAGCATTTAGAGAGGAAAATTACATGTGTATAGCTTATTGTAAGATTTGTACAGGAATTTCAAAGAGTGATGATATTTTCATTCAGGTCTGGCATTGCAGGTAACGAAAAGTACTATTTGAACTTTTTTTTTTTTTAAAATATATTTTATTGATTTTTTACACAGAGGAAGGGAGAGGGATAGAGTTAGAAACATCGATGAAAGAGAAACGTCAGTCAGCTGCCTCCTGCACACCCCCCACTGGGGATGTGCCCGCAACCAAGGTACATGCCCTTGACTGGAATCGAACCTGGGACCCTTGAGTCCGCAGGCCAATGCTCTATCCACTGAGCCAAACCAGTCAGGGCTATTTGAACTTTTTTAGTATAAGCTTTTGAAAGAGAAATTCTGAAATCTTTGTCACTCATCATGGATTTTATTAGAAAGAAAAAGAAATCCATGAATGTTGTACCTAGATAAGGCATGAACTGTCTCTGAAAATATTTTTGCTTTGTCACAGACTCATATAGTCATCTTCATTTCCTTAAATCTTTTCATATAGCTAGGGAGTTTTCTTTAAGATTAGATGCCTACAGAGCAGAGATGCTATAATGTACTTATATTTGAACACTTTCTCAAAACAGGAAACAGTTTGATTTTTATTGCTAGATACAAGAGCTGTTATTAGGAGTTGTTTTTCCCCCCCATTTATTATTTGGTAAAAATAATTTGTTAAATATGTAACTAAATGTGATTCTAGTTTTACTTCTTTGAAAGTTTTACCATACACATTTTATTTTTTTTTATTTTTAATTTTTTTAATTTTTATTATTTTTAAAATATATTTTATTAATTTTTTACAGAGAGGAAGGGAGAGGGATAGAGAGTTAGAAACATCGATGATAGAGAAACATCGACCAGCTGCCTCCTGCACACCTCCTACTGGGGATGTGCCCGCAACTAAGGTACATGCCCTTGACCGGAATTGAACCTGGGACCTTTCAGTCTGCAGGCCAACGCTCTATCCACTGAGCCAAATTGGTTAGGGCCCATACACATTTTAAAATCCTGAAATAATTTTCTAGTAACTGGGGGAGTTGAACAAAGGAATAGGCTGCTTAGGAAGAAGCTCTCTCCCCATTTATAGAAATGTTTAGGCATATGCACCCCACCATCCTCCAAATAAGCATGTTCCAACAAATAAGGATATTGTGGGATGGAATTTCATGGTTTCTTAAAACTGGAGAAATCAGTAATTCTACTTTTATAACAAATTTTGAATTAACATTTTTGAATAATACATTTTGAATTAGAAAATGTTATAATTTGTAATGTTACTAATTTTGGCTTAATGACATTTTTTGGAAGATTAGCATTTGCTTAGATTTAATTGAAAGCTCTGTGAAAGATAGTGTTTAGAAGAAACTCAATAAATTAATCTGTATACTATGTTGTTTTAATATATTTTTATTGATTTCATAGAGGGAGGGAGAGGGAGAGAGATAGAAACATCAATTATGAGAGAGAATCATTGATCGACTGCCTCCTGCACATCCCCTACTGGGAATGTGCCCGCAACCTGGCATGTGCCCTTGACTGGAATCAAACCCAGGACCCTTCACTCCACAGGCAGACACTCTATTCACTGAGCCAAACCAGCTAGGCTGTTTAGTATGTCTGATGCAAACATATAAAATGTTTCTTATAATTTAATATCTAACATACTAAAGAAGGAAACCACCTTGGAAAAAAATTAGGTAGATATTTTAGCTGTCAGGTAGATATGAACTACTGATTTTATTTTTTCCAAGCACATTAACAAATTTCCTACCCTTTGGGAAGTTTGAATAGGATGTAATAACTTATTAACTGAATAGTTGTAGTTATCAATGCTAAGAAGTAATCTAAGAAATAGACAATTAAAAAAATTTAGTGCTTCAAGTAGACTTACGTAAATAGTAAACATTCTTTGAGCACTTAGTTTATACTATTGTTCTAAATGCTTTACAATCTGTTTTTTATTTAGCCCTCACACCAACCTCATGAGGTAGGTATTAAGCTAATTTTACAAATAATGAAACTGAGGTTTAGTAAGGTAAAGTATCCAGCTTTGAATGTTGGGCTTTATGTTTTGTTTTTTTTATTTTGTTAAATTAGTTAACTTACTAGTTGATCATGTCTTACATACTGTGATAGCTTACCAGTTTCTTCCACCTCTATCTCACCCAATATTGATAGAAAGTTAGCATGAGTGCTCAAGAACAGATTACTTACAGATATGTGCTCTGTATTTCTAGTTTTTACTGTTGATCATCATTTTTGTTCTGTTACTTCACAGCAGCTACTAATCTAAGACCAGTGTTGTTCTCCCTCTGCCCAATTTCCTAACCCCCACAAATAACCCATTCAGTTCCTAAAACGTTAAAACAGTGGTTCTCAACCTTCTGGCCCTTTAAATACAGTTCCTCATGTTGTGACCCAACCATAAAATTATTTTCGTTGCTACTTCATAACTGTAATGTTGCTACTGTTAAGAATCGTAGTGTAAATATCTGATATGCAGGATGGTCTTAGGCGACCCCTGTGACCGCCAAAGGGGTCACGACTCACAGGTTGAGAACCGCTGCTTTAAAACATTAACAACATATTACTTTGAAAATTCATTCAAATTTTACATTGGGTTTTCTTTTGTGTCCAAACCTATGAAGTCAAAAACTCTCCTTTGTCCAGAGCTGTGGAGAGATAGCAAAATGTTTCCTCCTGATCTTCCTACCTCAGTATTACCTCCCTATTTACTGTTGCTAATGTGTAGAAAAGTCTTGCATTTCTTATGAACAGTATACTTTAACAATAGACCAAGGATGTATGTTATCTTAAATGATTTTATTCCTAAAATTCCTAGGCAATTAGAGATTAGAGTTATTGTAACACTCTTATTTTCTGTAGTTTATTTATTATTAAAAAATATTTTTCTTTTACTTATGGTTTTCTGCATTGCTGCATGTTAAACACCTGGTTTTCTTCATTGAACGATTTTATTTCCTTTAATCCATGTGAAGACCGTACTGTTAGTTAAATTCATGTTATTTCATTAAAGCATTTTTGTTTGTTTATACATTTACTTTGTTTGATTAAGGATAAGATCTCCTGTGCTTTTTTGAAACCTTTCCAAAACCAAAGAGAGAAATTAGTGATTGTTGTATATTTCTTTTTGTCTGTTTTAGGATGGCTACCATAGAGTAGTTAATATTGTGACAAAGAAACCACCACTGCTAGACAGACCGGGTGAAGGAAGCTACAGTAGATATTACAGTCATGTTGATTACCGAGACTATGACGAGGGCCGCAGTTTTTCTCATGATCGAAGAAGTGGTCCACCTCACAGAGGAGTATGTAAATTTACCCCATGTACTAATTGTTACTTTTTTCATAAGTTTAAAAGTCATGTAATTTTTAAAATTTATGTGACTGGTCATGAAGGCAGTTGAATAAACACTTCCTGCTTGATGCTCTGTTGAATTGCCTGCTGGAGCTGTCAAATGGGAACTGATAGTGAAGAATCTGGGGGTGCTGGACAAAGTGGGTAAGCACTCTGGAGAGCTTTATCTAAATGACATCAATTCCAACTAGCCCACATCATCAGGGATTTGCAGAAGCAGTTAAAGGTAATCTGTTCCCTTGGGACTTAGTAAGTGATGACCACGTGGTTACCATCTCTTACAAATGTGCCCACTTATGATTACTTTGCTTATTTTTAGCATGATGAAATGCTGTGGGTGAGGTTGGGTTAAGGTTGAGTCTCTGTTTCATTTTTGCTATAGTTATTATTAAAATTTATTTACTAATTCAGATTAGAAAGCACTCAAAACATCACCTTTCCCATAGTAAGCACTTTTAAAATGTTGGCTGATATCATTACTATTTTGACTGCTGTTATATCTTTTTTTGTGATCATCTTTAATATTACAAAACTATGTATTTAATGTTGCAGTAATCTGTCATTGAGCTTGATTGAAAATATTCCTTGATGCAATTTCTTCAATGTAGCTTGCATGTTTCCTCTGCTAGGCCATTTTCCTACATTATCTCTTTCCCCCCTTCCCTATTGTATAATATTGTAGTTGACAGTACCTATTCAAGCATTTCTTATGATAAAATTTGACCTTACATTTGCTGTTGGAATTAGTTTCTATACTTTTCACTTGAAGAAATGGAGGTAAGGTGACTTACCTAGGGTGGGTATACGTATGGGAGTCCAGTTCTCTCACTGCCATGTCGTGGTTGCGCTGACAATTCTATAGTGATAATGAGACTATTCAGTATTTTCTTACGTTTGCTTTGAAAGTTTGGAGTGTTAGGGTTTCTTCTCATAGAATTAATTTTTATTTTATTTAACTTTAACATGTCATGCTCTTCCTTTAAGAAGAGGGATTCCATTTTGAAAAGTAAATATGCATTATCCTTATCCTAGAAATACTGACTATTGCCATCAGAGCCCTTATTCCAGGTAGTCTCAGGAAGAAACAATTTGATCTTTGCATAAACTTGTTAACCCTCTTGTGAAAACCCTGTGGCCCCATTTGCTACTGTAGAGAGGGAATTTTGGATTCAATGGACCAATTTGTATTTGAATCCTCATGAACATGATTTTTTTCTAAAACCTTGGAGCATAATAGTGCCTCAACAATAATTTTTTCTATTGATATAAATAGTGTTTATACTGTATACAACATTTCCTCTTTAAATTCCCTTCAAACAAACAAGCCCACTCGAGATTCTTAGGACTTTTATGACACTGATTCTTTTCTAGACTTCAGTCATATAATGCAAACTACTTACTTGATCCAATATTTAATTATAGCTGTTGAGTTTTTTCTTTTGTTTATATTTAATGTTGTGAAGAAAAATGATGAATAGACTTCATTTATATAAGAGCAGAGTCTGTGATGCTAAAGGAAATGAAAATAGTATTTATTTAGCTGAATCATTGTTTCTGATTGTAAGTAATTCACATGTTGTATTGTTCTGTGTATCATTTTAAATTAATTGGGTGTGGATTATTATGTGTTTCTTTTTTTATGAACCTTTTTAAATGTGTCTATCTTAGAGGACACAATGTATTTGCTTTCTTTGATTAATTTCAAACTTAGTGCCACAGTTAGCTCTAACATAGCTTATCAGCAAGGGTGGTTTCTTGTTTCCAAATTTAATAGGAGGTAAGATGAGAAATGAAAACTTGAGAGAAAAGTGGGAAAGCACTAAATTTCTTATTGAGCTTGAAAATTGATGAGATAACTTGACATAGGAAAAAAATGAAAGGCCAAGAAACATCTACTTAATTAAATTTAAATTGAGCCTTTGTTCTTGAACAGCCCTTAGCTATTGTTATGTTGATATATATGTCCTTGGCATTAAGACTGTTAGGGCCTACCAGATAAATATTTAAGCATTTTCATTGAAATAAATGTACCACAGATTCTCAGTTTATTACTAATTTAGTTGTTGAAATGGATGATTTGTATATTTTTTATTTTATGCTTTTTAGCCTCAGAGAAATTTTTTTTTCTGTTTATCAGATTATTTATTCACTTGATTCTTAGATTCACTTGTTGATAGATGCATATTTGTTGTTCATAATTTGTATCTTTACCATTTTCTTCTTCTTCCTCTTCTTAAAGGGATACCTTTCAGCATTTCATATAATACTGGTTTGGTGGTGATGAACTCCTTTAGCTTTTCCTTATCTGTGAAGCTCTTTTTTTCTTTTTTAATTAATTAATTAATTAATTAATTAATTTTTTTATTGCTTAAAGTATTACAAAGGGTATTACATATGTGTCCATTTCCCCCCCCCCGCCCTTGACAGTCCCCTAGCCTCCCCTATCCCCCAGTGTCTTTTGTCCATTGGTTATGCTTATATGCATGCATACAAGTCCTTTGGTTGATCTCTTACCCCCCTCCCTCCTGCCCCCCAACCCTCCCTGGCCTTCCCGCTGCAGTTTGACAATCTGTTTGATAGCCTCAGAGAAATTTAGAAAGGTGTTTTGTCTTCATATTATTTTGATCTTAGAGACTAGGTTCCTAGTACTATTGTTAGATATATTCTATGTGATCAAAATAACACAAATAAATATCTAAGTAACTTTTTATTTTACAGGATGAATCTAACTATAAATGGACAAGAGATGATCATTCTGGAAGTCGTCAGCCTGAATACAGGTAAAAAGATGAAATTAATAACATAACTACTTTGATACTTGACTCACGAGATATAGAAGGTCCTTGGGTTACATCGGAGATTCGTTCCTATGGAGCGACATAACACGATTTTTGCTGTAAGTTGGAACCCACCTACATAAGCACCTACGTCACTCACATGGAGCACATACACAGCAGTAATGAAGTGAAACAGTAAAAAAAATTAAAAGAAAGATAACAACTCCTGACCTTTACTTGTGGTAAATAAATAAATAAAAACATAAAGCATATATGTACATACAGCGAAATGATGGAACTTTTTTTTTTATAAATAAACTAGAGGCCCTGTGCATGAAAATTCATGCACTGGGGGGGGCTGTCCCACAGCCTGGCCTGCCCCCTCTCACAGTCCGGGAGCCCTCAGGGGCAGGAGGCGACCCGGCGATCAGGGGAGGGCGATGCCCCATCATGACACCTCTGCTGCTGCCACTGTTGGCAGCGCAAGCCTCAGCCGGCCCTGGTTACCTGAGCCTCAGGCGGCCCTGGGCGGCTGGGCAGCCAACATCTGAAGGTTGCCTGCACCTTGGGCTGGCCCTGGGTGGCTCGGGGACTGAGGGGATTGGGGGACTCTGGAGGCAGGCGTGAGGAGCGCCGGGCCCCTGCTGCTCCGGCGGGTTTGAGGGGACTGGGTGCTGCCATCTTGTGGCTCTGGGCGCCACCATCTTTGAGGGTGTGGCAGTCAGTTAGCATATTTCCTCCTTATTGGCTGTGGGCGCCGCCATCTTTGCGACGGTGTGATGGTCAATTAACATATTCCTCCTTTATTAGATAGGATGGGAGATGGTGACGTAACCACAAAACGACATACGTCGAGTCTGATGTAACTCGAGGACTGACTGTATCAAACCTCAAGGGGCTTCTGCTCAAGGTGGCAGTGTAGATAAATGCAGTACTCCTATTCTTCCACAACCACATCAAAATTACAAGTGAACTACAGAATGAGCACCATTCAGAATAGCCTGAAATCTATCTAGCTGAACAAAAGTTCTAACTAAGGATATAAAGAAGAAGCCAAATTGAGACTGGTGGTAGGGACAGAGACACAGAATTGGCTGGTTCCATGCCACATGTGGTGGTTAAAAATCGGGAGGCTCCCACTAAGGAACGAGGAGTTCTGTCCCACACACTAAGGAACAAGGGGTTCTGTCCCACACCAGGATTCACCTGCCAGGGTTCCAGTGCCCAGAAAAGTAAAAACCGGTGGGGATTGTTGCTTAGCAAAGCTCTCATTTAGAATTGAAGGTCAGATAAAGGTCTTCCCAGACAAGAAAAAGGAAAAAGCTAAAGGAATTCATCACCACCAGTAAGACATAGTAAACAGTTTTTAAGAAGAAGAAGAAAAAGATAAAAAAATATGAATGCCTTGGCTAGGTGGTTCAGTTAGTTGGAGCATTGTCCTGCACACCAAACGGTTGTGGGTTTGATTCCTGATCAGGGCACATACCTAGGTTGTGGGTTTGATCCTTGGTTGGGGTGTGTATGGGAGACAACTGATGATGTTTCTTTCACATCAATGTTTCTCCCTCTCTCTCTTAAAATCAATAAAATATATCCTTAAGTAAGGATACAGTAAATTATATGAATAATGATGTTAAATACATACTTATCAACAATTACTTTAAATGCAAATAAATAGGTTAAATGCTCCAATCAAAAGACATATAGTGGCTAAATGGTTAAAAAAAAAAAGACCCTTACATATGCTATCTGCAAGGGACTTGCTTCAGATGGAAAGACACACACAGACTAAAAGTAAAGGAATGGAAAAAGATATTTCATGAAAATGGAAATAAACAAAAAACTATGGTAGCACCCAGGTGGTGTTCCTTAGTGGTTAGAGCATCATCCCATGCACTGAAGGGTCGTGGGTTCAATTCCAGGTTAGGGCACATTCTCAGTTTGCAGGTTTGGTCCCCAGTTCGGGTGTGTGCATGAGGTAACCAGTCAGTGTTTCTCCACACATCCTAGTCACATAGGTGGACTATATTTCCCAGCCTTCCTTCCGTCTAGATGTGGCCATATGATTAATTTATCTCCAGTAAAGTGTAAACAGGAGTTCTGCTTCTACATGTATTCTTCCACGCACATTGACCTTTTCCCATGTTGCAGGGTGGGTCCTGGAATGGAATGACAGCAGACCCGTGGCCTTGGAAGCCACATGTTGAAATAGAGTGGTCAGCCTCGGTTTCTGGATGATTGCATGGAGTCTCTTACCCTGGCATGCCTGCCCTAGACTGTTAGATGGTAGCTAGACTTCTTTTGTGTAGTGACTGAACCCTGCATTTTTGGGTATTTTTGTTATAGCAATTTAAGCTTATTTTATCTCTGTAACAATACTCAGTGTTTTATCTCTTTGTCCATATCTCCTGCCTAGAATACTTTTAAGTGTAAAGATGTGGTTTTGTGGAAAGGGCTCTGGACTTGGTCATCAAACTTCTAATCACAACTCTGCTGCAAGACATTTATTTTTGAGGGTAGTGTAGAATAAAAGGTAATATGAGAACTCCCTTCACTTAAGTCACAGCACCCTAGTTCTAAAGTTTCTAAAAAAAGATATATGAGGTTTAAATTTATTCTTAAGTTTTCCCTACTAGCTGCTTTTTCAAATGATTCCCACAGTCTTAATTCCTTTTTGAAGTTCATGTTGACTAGAAATGAAGTAGTCGGTATTTTGTGTGGAATATTTGTGTTGGATGTGCAAAGGAAAGAAAAATGAGGTCTCAGATAAGTGAAATGCTGTCTTTCTCCCCTTTCCTCTCTCCTCTTACATTCCCTGCCTCCTACTTTAATTGAATTTTACTCTTAACTGGTAAAGTTATGTCTGCTTAAAGAGAGGGGTCCATCACAACTTGTCTGGTGTGACTGATGTCATGGGCTGAAATTACCTTGAGAGGATGCATATTAATAGGTGAGAATTCTGAGCTTTATAAATCGGCTTTCGCAACCAACATCCGAGGTAAATATAGTGCAGATAGTTTCAAGACTATATTCTGAGGAACGGTGCATTATAGGGCATTAGTTCTTCCCATCTTCATTCTCCAGGTAACTTTGCCTCCTGTGTGTGTCCAGCATTATGGCTGAAATGTTTGTGATACAGCCGAAGATGCTGTCCCAACTCTTAAACTGTTTTTTTGAAAATAAAAAACATTAGTTCAGTTAAGTATGGCTTTAAAAAAAATCTTTATAGTAAGAATTCCAGTTATACTGTTATTTATATTTCTTCAAAGGCTCTTTTTGATTTCCTGATAATTAATTGTATTTAACCCATTATATCGTGCATTTATCCTCATTTTCAACATAACTAAAAACATTATGAAGACTTTAGATGTAGGTATTCTTGTGTAAATGGAACTTTGCAGTAGTCACAGTGCAAAGTTTCTACCCTCTGATTTTTGAAATGGCATTAAAAATGTGCCCCAGTTTCCACTATCCTATTGCTATTTAGCATGTTTCAGGGTAATTGTTAAAATAAACAAAATTCTTTCTTTAAAATTAGGATGATACTTGCATAAAGAAAGTTATGCTAGTTGCTATTGATTGAATTTTATAGATAGTCATGAGTGTTGGGACTAACACATTTTTTTTTTTTAATCCTCATTCTGGGATTGTTTTTCATTGATTCTAGGGAGAGGGAAGGAAGGAGAGAGAAGCATTGATGTGAGAGAGAAACATCGATCAGTTGTCTCCCATATACACCCCAATTGGGGATTGAACCCACAACCTGGGTATGTCCCCTGACTGGGAATCGAACCCACGACCCTTCAGTACATAGGATGATGCTCTAACCAACTCTACCACACTGGCCAAGGAGGGACTAACACATTTTAAAACATACATATATATTTTTATTGATATCAGAGAGGAAGGGAGAGAGAGAGAAACATCAATGATGAGAGAGAATCATTGATTGGCTGCCCCTTGCAAGCCCCATTTTGGGGATCGAGCCCGCAACCCGGGCATATGCCATTGACCAGAATCGAACCCGGGACCCTTCAGTCCAGAGGCTGATTCTCTATCCACAGAGCAAAACCAGCTAGGGTAGGACTAACACATTTTAAAAATAAAAATAGTATGCATAAAGTTGTGATATTTGTATCAATTAATTGATAATTCCCCTTTTAATTTTTTTGGGAAACCAATAACCTATAGAGGTTTCATGTTTTGCACTTTAAATACTCAGTGACAGTTGTTTATGTGGCTTTGTTTTAGTTTGTACAGTTTTTCTGGAAACAGTTCTATACTTAAGAATGTCTAGCTTAAATTTATTTTACTTCTGTGATTTTAGTTGTTTTTGTTAAAATGGGATTCTACATCTGAAATAAATTTAAGGGTCTTAATGATCAGGAAAATAGAAACGTCTGAGCGTTTCGGACGGAGGGTTAGAGTCACTAGCAATCCAAGGCTACCTTAAGGAATTGAGGTCACGCAGCCAGGCTAGTCTATTTCCAGCTTACCCTGCACTTTTGTGGCCCTTTGAGGTTTCAGCCCTCCTTCCCTGGTAAGATCTGAGCTCTATTTTTATATTCTAATCCTTGGAAGCTATCAAAATTATTTCTCAACTTTTCATCCTCTCAGCTGCTGCTTCTGAAATTGGCAGATACATATAGGGAAAAGCAGCCTCTTAAAAGATAAGCCCAGCTCTCTGGGCTTTCTCCTCTTCTTATTGATTCCATAGTTCTTTACTGAATTCTTAGCTCTGAGGACTCTGAGCAGTTTGCTAAAAAAAAATTTGGTTTTTCTACATTTTTTTTTTTTAGCTGTTAACTTAGTTCTTAATTTTTGGATGTAGAGGTATTTCTTTTTTCTTGTTTTTAAAATATATTTTTATTGATTTCAGAGAGAAAGGGAGAGGGAGAAGGAGAGAGAAACATCAATGATAAGAGAGAATCATTGATTGACTGCCTCCTGCATGCCCCTACCGTGGATCCAGTCCACAACTTGGATGTGTGCCCTGACCAGTAATTGAGCCGTGATCTCCTGGTTCATACATAGGTCGATGCTCAGCCACTGAGCCACGCTGGCCAGGCTAGAAGTACTTCTTGAATGTAATAGTGGTGTTTTGTTGAAGTAGCAGAAATTGAGGTGAGCCTTGAGGTAATGGTATCTTTGGCTTGAACATTATGAAATATAAATATTTTATTTATTTATTTTAAATGTAGTAATTAGTAATAATCTTTTACTTATTGATTGATTGACTGATTTCAGAGAGGAAGGGAGAGGGAGAGAGATAGAAATGTCAGTGATGCTAGAGAATCATTGATCGGCTGCTTCCTGCATGCCCCGTACTGGGCATGTGCCCTGACCGGGAATTGAACCCAGGACCCTTCAGTCCACAGGCCAACGCTCTGTCCACTGAGCCAAACCAGGGCTAAATATTTTTTAAAAATATAAAAAATTTAATAGAAAATGTCTGTTAAATGTGGAGTATAGAATTAAAACCATGAGTGAGTGCACAGAAGGACAATGGAAGACTTAAATTTTTCTACTAATAACCATTTTGTGTTTATTTGTTCATTAGTCATTTGATAGTGTTTAGCTGCATTGATATAGTAGCAGACTCCAAAGATTTAAGAAAAACTATGGGAGAAAAACAATGTTTTTTATTATCAAGTGTTATTTTTTAATGTTTTATTTATAAAAGGTTGTTAATCTGTTTACTGACTTTTCCTATAGAGTGGGTAAAAAGAATCATAATACTTGGAAGTGATGTTGAAGGTTAAGAGTTGCTGTGTTAAGATAGCATTTTTCTGAATAATGGGAAAATAAATAGCAAAAATATAGGAAGTGGGATGATTTCTTGGAAGATTTGCCTTTGCAGACAGATTATCCTGAATTGGAGGAACCTAATCACGTTGCACTGATTTCTTAGTGATCCTCTGGGAAGCTGACCTAACACCAGGTGATGGTAGCTGAAATTGACAAGGCTGACTTATTTTGGGCTTGTCATGTAATGCTATGCTACTTGTGTGTTCAAAAGAAATCATTAAAATGTACTAATGATTTTCTGACAATAGTTGGTCTCACAATTTGTATTTTCTTAAAATAAATATTAATGAAAATTATTTTCTCAAAGATAAAAAGTTCTGTTCATTTTCTTTAAAAAATCCTTTCAGGTCATGTTAAATAAGGAATGATATTTTTTCTATATCACGTTTTTAGAAGAAAATTGGCACCTTTCTTTTTAGTAAACATACATAAAGTACACAAATCAAGGTATACAGCTCAATGAATTACCATAAGTGTAACCACAATTTGGTTAAGAAATAGAACATTACTTGTATCCAGAAGCTTTTTTATACCCCTGCTCAATTACTTTCCACTTCTTCCCCATAGGTGATCATTATTCTCACAAAGCAATCACAAGGCAATATTAATAGTCAATGGGAAAAATTACATTTGTGACTTTTACAATTTTTTTGTCAAAACAAACTCTGTCAATTAGAAATGTACAGGGAAATGAAAAAAAAGGTAAACCTAAATACTCATTTAGTGCACTGTAATTTAAGACATTAGAAACAATGAGAGTTAGAGTTTTATTTCTTTGTAAAAAGCTTATTAGAGTGGTGCCATCTCATTTTATAACTTAAGATACAGAACAAACATCTTTTTTATGCCTTGGCGAATTGTCATACTGCATTCTAAGATTGGATCAATTTCCAACATTTATCTTTGTCTTTTCATTGTGAAATACCTCTGAGAGCTCCTTTAATGTGAAGAATTTTGTTAGTTTCTCTTCCTCTGGCACATTTCATTCTTTTGGTCACAGTCTTTTTTGTTAATCCTCACCTGACGTTTCCTATAATTTCCCTTTTATTTTTAAAGGGAATCAATTTTCCATTGATTTTTATTATTTTTTAAAATATATTTATTTTATAGTAATTTGCTTCTTCTACATACCATTTTTAAAAATATATTTTTATTGATTTCAGAGAGGAAGGGAGAGAGAGAGATGGAAACATCAGTGATGTGAGAGAATCATTGATCAGCTGCCTCCTGCATGCCCCTCACTGGGGATTGAGCCTACAACCTGGGCATGTGCCCTTGACTGGAATTGAACCTGGGACCCTTCAGTCCGCAGGCCGATGCTCTATCCACTGAGCCAAACTGGCTAGGGCTCCATTGATTTTTAGAGAAAGTGGAAGTGAGGGGGAGAGAGAAAGAGAAAGAAACATCGATGTAAGAGACACACATAGATTGGTTGCCTCCCACAGGTGCCCCTGGAGATTGAGCATGTAACAGGTACATGCCCTTAACTGGAATTGAACCCGACCCTTCAGTTCTCAGGCTCTATCCACTGAGCAAAACTGGCTGGAGCTCACTTTCGTCTTTTACGTCAATAAGTTTGCCTTCAGCAGTTGCCTCAGGGTACAGTATCTTGAAGGTAAACATTGTCAACATTCTCATAGTTAACTATTTTTTCTGTAATTCTGTTTATGTTCAGTTTGAATTGTACTCCTATCGTTATCACTTTTGTATTTCTTGGCTGCACTTTTGTACCCCTCCAGTTGTACAGTCAAAAATCTCATATCTTCAGACATTGATTGCCACATATCCCCATTTACACCACCCTGTCCTCCTCCTTGTACTTGCTGATAAGTTTCCAGGATCCCATTCCTTCTTCCTTGATGATTATAATTTCTGGCTCACAGTCTTTCCCTCCATTCCTCTCTGTCCTGATTTGATGATAACCTTTAACACTAGGTCGGGATTGGTCTTACGTTTATCAGCTCTTATCTTTAGCATGGTCAAATCCTAGAATCATCCCTGGGAATGGTTCTGCCTCTTTCGTGGGATCTGAGTTTCTGCTTTTGACTTATAGATATCATCCTCATATACAGTGCTTACATGTTAGTGAGATTCTCTATTTGGAGAACCTTCTCAGGTTTGTGTGCATGAGAATCACCTGGAGGGTCTTGTTAAAGCCCAGAATCCTGGTCTCACAGAAATTCTGATTCAGTAGGTGTGATTTGATGCCCGTTAATGGGTATTTCTGTCACCTTCCCAGGTAATGCTGATGCAAGCCTGGGGACTGCATTTTGAGGAACACTTTCCCTCAAAGGGTAATCAAAACTTTCCACTCTGCCTCAAGCTTCTTTCACATTCTTACTTTGTTTACTTCCTATTAATGACTTCTAGAATTACTTTACTGAGATAAAGCCCTTCTGAGATGAGATTTCTCATATTTTCTCTTGGAAACAAGAATTTTTCTCTTTATCTCTTTTATTTTCTTTTCTTCTTTCCTTCAGTGCCATTCTCTTCTACTTAGTTTCTTTGTCTTATTTTCTCCTGTTGATTTTTGGCTTCTTCCTTATCAGTAACATTCTTGAGTCTTAAATTATGAGTTTCTCCTTCTACAGGAAATTAACCCTTTTCCTCAATTTCCAGATGTGATCAAATAAGCCCCTTCCCTCAAAATACTGTCCCAATCCTCTCCCTTCTTCCCTCTGTCAAATTTTATTGACAAAAAAGTAATGGCTTAAAAAAATACCTTAATTTTTTCTAATGTGCTTTGGTTTCCAAAGCTTCACTGGGCAGCCCACTCACTGGTCACATGACTCCTAGGTTTTAAATGCAGAGATCTCTTCCAGCTTCTGCAGTATTTGATATTACTTTCTTTTCCCTTTTAATAATTTCCTTCCTATGCTTTTTAGTCACTGCTTTTAAATTTTTTTTTTTCACTGTTCTGACTACTCTGTTCTTGTTTGCATAATACCCTTTAATTCTGCTCTGCTTTTTCTTGAAGCTTGGAATACTTTTTCTACCACCTAAATTTGTGCTGTTCAAAATGGGGACCACTAGCTGAATGTGCCTATTGAGCACTTGAAATATGGCAGTTCACACAGATGTTCTGTAAGTATAAAATACACAGATTTTCAAGATTTACAATGAAAAAGAGAATATAGCCTGGACAGTGTGGCTCAGTTGGTTGGAGCATTGTCCCATACACGAAAGGTCACGAATTTGATTCTATATTCTCTGTGAGGGCACGTGTGGGTTTAGTCCCAGGTCGGGGCACATATGAGAGGTATCCTATCGCTGTTTCTCTTACATCAATGTTTCTCTTCCTTTCTCTCTCCTTCTCCCTCTCTCTCTCAAATCAGTAAAACATATCCTTGGGTAAGGATTAAAAAAAGTAAGAGAAAAAGAGAATACTAAATATCTCACCAAAATTTTAATATTGATTACATGTTTATAATATTTTTAATAAATTGGGTTAAGTAAAAAATACTAAAATTTCACCTATGATACTTTAGTTTTCAAATGTTCTTAGTATATTTGAGGTTCGAAACAATGTTGATCTAAATTTCATCTTTAAAAACTTACAGGTTAGTTTTCCATCTTATATACATTTCTCTTCTGAATTACAGTACTAGCCCTCTGGAACATTTATGTCCCATTATCCCAATCTGATACTAAGCTTCTTCAGAGTCAGGGTAGTTCTTCATAGTTCTTTTCATACACACACATGAATAAATGATGGCTAATATTATCACTTTATCAAAGAGGATACTTACAGTAGAGGATACCAGTTGTGATGTTTTTTTTGTGTGTGTGTGTGTGTTTTGTTGTTTTCTTTTAATCCTCACCCAAGGATATTTTTCCATTGATTTTTATAGCGAGTAGAAGGGATGGGGAGAGACAGAGAGAGAGAGAGAAAGAGAGAGAGAGAGAGAGAAACATCAATGTTGGTTGCCTCTAGCATGCTCCCTGAGCCTACAACCGAGGTACTTTACCGGAATTGAACCCGGGACCCTTCAGTCCTCGGGCCAACGCTCTGTCCACTGAGCCAAACCAGATGGGTCCAATTGTGATGTTTTTGCTTAATGCTATCGGCAATAGGAGAGGTTGATGTGAAGGGGAGGAGACATTACTTTGCTCTGAGATGTTAAAATCTGACATGTATTTTCCCCAAGTGTATCCAGCCACGCAGGCCACTGAGATAGTTCTGAACTGTTTATTCTGTTGTGATTTTACTGCCATCTGGCGTCAGGACCAGGAAACTGTAGCTCAGCGTTTCTTTTCTTTCTCCCCAGAGAAAGTAGGCAGTCTTTTCTCTCAATATTGGCCTCCTCTTCTCCATCCCTAAAGTAAGTTAACAGTAAGAGCTCATTTTATTTCAGTGTATGAGACCTTTATTCTCCCCTTGGAGCACTCTTCCCTTGGCTCTCTTGATAACTTACCACGTTCCTTCATGTTTCTGTGACCATCTTTCATTTTCAGACTGCCCATTTCTCTCTCAGTGTGGTAGTTTTCTAGCCCCAAATTCTGGGCCCTCTACTCTTTTTATCCTTTGTTTTCATCCATAGTCAAGGCTTAAATACTGCCTATCTACTGACAAATTTATTGTTTTAACCAAAATCTCTTCGGGTCTTTGCATCAGTATCTCTAGTTGCCTACCAAGAGATTTACGTGAGGTTTCAAATTTAACATGTTCGAATCTAAGATGCCATCCCTACTTCTCATAGTTTTCTTTTCTCATTTCAATAATCCATCACTGCCAGAATTCTGGGAATCAGCTTAATATTTCCTGACACACTTACTACATTTACCATGTGCCATTGAGTCCACCAAGGTGTGTTCTTGTACATGTTAAATTTGTGACTCCTTTTTTGCTCTGCCGTATCTAAGCTGTTACTATCTCTAGCCTGGACTGAGTAGGTTACCAGTTAGTTTCCCTGCATGCACTCTTGATTGTATTTCCATGTTTTATTTTTATTTTTTTAATATTAGCCTTTCTGACTAACCCGGGAGTCCTGTGGTGGGAGAGATTGCATGCATTTGGTTCACCATTAGGTCCCTAGCACCTGGTACAGTTCCTAAAACCTGTGTAATACCTGTACAGCCACTCTGGCTTTAACTGATGTTGATGGGACTTCTGTAGTTTTAGTGATTAAACTTGAATATATTAGAATTTCTTTATTTTAGTATTTTGTTCAAGTTTATTAATCATGAGTTTTTACTGTTTTCTGTTTTGTTTTGTTTTTGCTTAGAGAAACTTAAGTGTAACTATAAAGGCAATATATTTTGGACACTAATCAGATGATGACAACAACCTACTTACATATTGGGGAGTGCCAGTCAATATGCTGAAATTATTTTTAGCATTGGAAATTTTATGCCATTGCTTTGTCTTTTAGCATTCTTCTGAAATTTAAAGGTCTTTAATTTTTTAAAAATATATTTTTATTGATTTCAGAGAGGAAGGGAGAGGAAGAGAGAGAGACAGAAACATCAATGATGAGAATCAGTGATCGGCTGCCTTCTGCACACCCCCCACTGGGGATCAAGCCCACAACCTGGGCATGTACCCTTCACCAGAATCGAACCTGGGACCCTTCAGTCTGCAGGCCCCCGCTCTATGCACTGAGCCAAACCAGCTAGGGCTAAAGTTTTTTAATTTTAATACGAAGGTACATTTGCTAAATCTTCAATCAAAACCGGTCTGATTCCACATGTTATTTTAAATAGAAGCTCAAGTCTTGGTAGTTTAATAATTTTGATTTGCTTTATGGGCTTTTTAAAAATTATTTTTAATTGATTTCAGAGAGGAAGAGAGAGGTAGAAACATCAATGATGAGAGAGAATCATTGATCGGCTGCCTCTTGCATGCCCCACATTGGGGATGGGGCCCGCAACCTAGGCATGTGCCCTGACCTGGAATCGAAACGTGACCTCCTAGTTTATAGATTGACGCTCAACCACTGAGCCATGCTGGTTAAGCTGCTTTGTATTTTAAAGATAGTTTTGATTTTGTAAAATTTTGCTAAGTTAGGCTTGCTTCCTACTTTGAATTAAGGATATTGCTTAATAAAGTTTAATTTGTAAAAATAAAAGTGAGTATAAAAAGTTGGTTTTTAGAGATAAGAATACGAATTCAGAAAACAGTGATTTAATAAGTATATATCAGGGTTTCTCAGCCTTGTCATTATTAACATTTTTGGTCAGGTAGTTTATTGTTGTGTATATGGGAGCTGTCCTGGGCATTGTAGGGTTTAGCAGTATCCCTGCCCTCTACCCACCAGTGGTACCCCTTCTTCTCTAAATTGTGATAACAGACATGTCTGTAGGTATAGCCAGATTGTCATGTGGGGGCAAAATCTCAACATTTGAAAATCAGTATATACTGTACTTAAAAGGCGATAATAGGCCATGGAGTACCTCACTTGGGAAGTCTTTGGCATCCTTTAGGTGTCTGAGAATATGACAGCTGGGTGGTATATTGCTAATGGCAAAAAGAAGTAGAAGCTATATGACTGTATTGATTTCACATTTTAAAATTACTGTGCTTGCTTTAGAATAAATAAACTGTGAAAAAACGATGCATTCTAAAACATATTTCACTGATAGTTTCATTTTGTGGGCTGACTTCAGAAGTTAGGTGGTGGTAGAAAAGGGAACCAAGATTACAACTTGAAGAGTAGCTGGTATTCAGAGCTTTTGCCATTTGTGAATATGTGGGGTAAAGGATATAATTAACCTCTTTTCTTTTCAAAGGGACATGAGAGATGGCTTTAGAAGAAAAAGCTTCCATGCTTCTCATTATGTGAGAGACCGGTCTCCTCATAAAAGAGAAAATCCGTTTTTAAGAGAATCACCTGTTGGCAGAAAGGATTCTCCACACAGCAGATCTGGCTCCAGTGTCAGTAGTAGAAGCTACTCTCCAGAAAGAAGCAAAACTTACTCTTTCCATCAGTCTCAACATCGAAGTATGTATTTTAAAAACTTTTCCTTTTTCTTTCACACTGAAGAGAAAGTACTAAGACAGATTGCCTTTTAGGTGCTGTAAAAGGTATATTTTTTAACATTTTCTTTTTTAAAATTTCAAACTTATATGGACAAGAATGGCATTCTGTGCAATAATGTCATCCTGACTGAGTTGCTCAGTGTGTTTGGGAATAAATAAATGAAATCTTCCTGTATTATATTTCTAGACTCTACTACCTGCTCATTCACAAAAAATTTACTCTTGCCTTCTATATTCAAGGCACTATGTTAGATAGAAAGATGTCTCTGTCACCAAGGAACTAGAATATGTATATGTATTTTCCCCCAACTGATAACTTTATCAATTTGTAAATATAGCATATGTGAAATGTAGCTGGTACAAGAATCGATATGCCATAAATGAGCTAACGTAACATGGGCAAGTCAAGATAAGAGAGATTCTCGCTCTGGGGATGGGAGAACATGACATTTGGGCTTATCTTTCATTTCAGATTTCTGTAAGTGTAGAAGTACTTACTAGGTATAAGGAATTTTAAGTTGAGAAATCAGAAAAGTCTAGGATATTTTTCCTTTTTAACTCCTTTTCTATTATCTGTTTTTTTTCAAATAATAACATTTTTAGTTTAACAGTCCGTGCCTCCTGGGTGTTAAGATTGATGTAAATTGACTTCAGGTTATCAGAATGTCTCCATTGGAGCTGTTGCTTGATTCCTGTATTTAAGAAACATTTATCAATTGTTTACTATTTTCAGAACTAGATAGATTTTTTTTACTACATGTGTATGAATGGTCATGCACTTACATATGTCTGAATGCTTAAAATGTTTTTAGAATAGTTCCAGGTAACTGAAAGTTTTATTCTGGAGTTCAGTGTTAACAGTCTGATATTTCCTTCCTCTCTCCCACCACCCGTCTTTCCCTCAAGGAGAAAAACTATCTCAAAGTTGTAATGTGTGCTCATATGCACAGCCAGAAATATCCAAAATTAGCCAAATACCTTCTAGGAACATAGTTTTTTTGTGTGTGTGTATGACTTAAATCCAAATCTATTAATGATTTGATTAAGAGGAGGAAAGTATCTTGGGAAACTGATTATGAAGCCTTTCAAACAAAACATGAGTAAAATGGAGGCTTGAAATTCTTACTTGACAGCTTATAAGAAAGCTGTTATTTATGATAGTTATTGGTGAATTAGCCTTATCTTTTTTATTTCACCTCTAAAACAGATCTCTAGGGAGGCATCTCTATCTGCTCTTGGCTTGGTTAGTTAGTGGCCAGAGCTCTAATATCTTGAGATGAAATGTGGAGGAGCCACCATCATGCTCTTGTCATAGGGTTTCCAATATACGTCTCTCATCCTTCAAGATCTAATGCCTTTAATATCTGGAGTGATGAGAGGATAACAAAGAATGGTGGGAGACTAAAGTATGCGATGGATTAAGTGAAATAGAGCATATGACTTTGTTAATACCATTATGTTTTGTTAAGTCATTTAGCTTTGAAAGTAAACTGTAATCAAGAAAAAAAGTTTGGCCTTAGCTGGTTTGGCTCGGTGGATAGAGCGTTGGCCTGTGGACTGGAGGGTCCCAGGTTCGATTCCGGTCAAGGGCATGTACGTTGGTTGAGGGCACATCCCCAGTGGGGGGTGTTCAGGAGGCAGCTGATCGATGTTTCTCTCTCATTGATGTTTCTAACTCTCCATATCTTCTCCCTTACTCTCTGTAAAAAAAAAAAAATCAATAAAATATATTTAAAAAAAAAGAAAAAGAAAAAGAAAAAAAGTTTGTTCTGGGGAAACTCTCTTTACAAAGTACTTTGGTTGATTCCTTAACTATTTGGGCTGATCTTTTTTTGTGAGTTAACCCTCACCCAAGGATGTTTTTCCCATTGATTTCTAGAGAGAGTGGAAGGGAGAGAGAGAAAGAGAAAGAAACAGCAATGTGAGAGAGACACATCAATTGGCTGCCTCCTGCACGTGCCCTGACTGGGGCTGGGGATCAAACCTGCAACCCAGGTACATGACCTTGACTTGGAATCAAACCCACAACCCTTCCATGTGGGATCAGATGCTCTAACCAATGAGCATGCTGGCCATGGCTGGGCTGAACATTAAATGTTTTGCTATACTCCTTTCATGTAAATGGTTTTCAGAATAGTTGCATAAGATCATCTTGCAAAAAGTCTTGTTTAGATCAGTAAATGGGAAAAGTAATTATTATTTTACATATTTATGATACCAACTTTTGCTTTAAATCTAATTGTAACAAATATTGATAGCACTTTACCTTGCTTTTCTTCAAAAAAAGGACTGATAAACAGGGTCCTTCAATGATCAGTCATTTAAACTGGGCTAATTAGCAGTATTGGATTAGTTTAGTTTACTAATGTAAATGAAAATTTTGCCATAGATTTTATTTTTATTTTTAAATTACCTTAAATTCGATTTTTTTTCATATATTTTTATTGATTTCAGAGAGGAAGGGAGAGGGAGAGAGAGAGAGAGAGAAACATCAATGATGACAATCCTTAATCGGCTGCGTCCTGCACACTCCCTACTGGAGATCTTGCCCGCAACCCGGGCATGTGCCCTTGACTGAAGTCAAACCTGGGACCCTTCAGTCCACAGGCTGCTGCTCTATCCACTGAGCTAAACCAGTTAGGGCTTGCCATAGATATAAAATGTCTGTATAAATAACAAGTAAAAATAATTTTGTTAATTTTACCATTTTGCTAATTCTCTAACTTTTACTTTTTATTCATACTTTTAGAGTAATTTTACTTATTTTAGTAATTACTATTAGTTTGGCCATGGTAACCATTTTTTAAATCAAAAATTGTTTTTCAATTACAGTTGACATTCAACATTATATTATTTTCAGGTGTACAGCACTGTGGTTAGAAATTTGTATAACTTGTGAAGTAGACCGCCTGCTATAATTCTAGTACCTACCTGGCACATGGTAACCATTTAAGGACTAATTATTCATAATTCTTCTGTGCATTTAATGTCTGTTATGTGCTTAATTATAAGCCACAGAATGATTTTCACTCCTTTTTCATCTCAGCTAGTTATACATGTGCACACGAACACACACATACACACATGCATTTGATTATATTTCTCTTACTTGGCTTTTTGGGTTAAACCTATGGAACTTTATTCTGCTTTAGACTGATTATTCTCCTAAATCAGTGTTTTTATCATGTGCTTCATGTATAAGACTTTTGCCTATAACTTAATTGGACTAATGTGGTCAAAGCTGTGACTACCACGTTATTTTTGTTCTTTTTTGTTATCCATATTTACATGCCACCAGTGTGGGTTGTCCTAGTTAACCTCATTTCCTTTTCCTTTGCTTATGAGACTGTTCTAGTTAAAATTGTTTTGTCACGTATACCTTGAATATTTTTTTAAAATATGTTTTTATTAACTTTTTAGAGCAAGAGAGGAGAAGGGAGAGGAGGGATGGAGAGGTAGAAACATCAATGAGAGAGAAACATCATGCTCCCACAGCTCCCCTCACTGGGGATCGAGCCTGCAACCTGGACATGTGCCCTGACCACCGGAATCGAACCATGACCTCTTGGTTCCTAGATTGACGCTCAACCACTGAGCCACACTGGTGGGGCTTGAATATTTTTACTTGAAGTTTATTTTTATTCTAATTAACCAAACATCTCCCCATTTGTCAGCTCTCTTGGATATTTACTTTCCTATTTGACTCCCCCTTTTCAAATGAATCCTATTGTTTTCCTAGCTCAACTATTATTTATCTTTTGTTTAGGATTGTGGCATTAGTAATGCACCAGAGATCACTAATATCCATTCTTTTTTAAAGTACATCCTGTGATGTTTAATGTATCACAATCTAGCCTTTCCATCTTTGTATAGCTCACTTTAATAAAACAATTAAAATATTTTCCTGTAGGACACATTTGTAATACCTTAACTAATAAAAAAAAAATAAAAAAAAATATTTTCCTGTAACATGTACATAATGCTATTTATCTTAAACCAATAAAGATAATATATTTTTTTATATTATAACCATTTATGTATTTGAAGAGTCCCATCATAATCTTCTCAATTTTTGTTTTTCAGGTATAAATATATTTAGTTCTTTCAGCTGTTCCTTTTATTTGGCAGATTTTGGACCTTTTGCTTTGCTAAATATTTTTCTGTTCCTTTCAAGTTGTGATGCCAGAAGTGAACTTCTATTTTGTCAACCACATTGCATTACTGACCCTTACTGAGACTGCAGACAATTGAAACCTAAACTATTTTTCTATATTTTATTCTTAAACAAAATGCTCTTCAGCTGTACTTTTTCCGGTGCAATTGTTTATGTGTAGTTAATGCATTAAAAAAATCTAGTTATGCTAAATTTCATCTAATTAACTTTGGCTTATGATTCTCTTCCATAGAGGCTTAAAAATCTCATTTAGTGATCCTATATATTAGCAGCAGATAAATAACTTTGTTTTATCTGCAAATGAAGTATGCATTATGCGCTTTATATTAACCATTAATAATTTTGTTGAGTAGCGTAAGGCCTAATATTGAAACTTTAGAGACCTCTCTCTGTGGACTTCAGCCATTTATCTGCATCATTTGCTGTTATTCAACCAGTTGTGATCCCCAATCTTGTCTTTTTTCCACTTGAGGATTTAATGGAAGACTTGGTACTTTGTCGAAATTCAAGTTACAAAGCATTTCCTCTGTCAAAATAATGGCATAAAATTGCCTTGTCTTTTTTTTTTTTTTTTTTTTTTTAAACACTAGGGGCTTTGTGGCTCCTGGGATGATTATGTCGGTGATTATAAACTGCCTCTTTGTTAATTAATTCTAAACAGTTGCTAGAGATTATAATGTCAACTTTACCAGTGATTCTCATACATGAATTAGGCAGTGTGACATTTTGGTTGAATTTTTAAAATATCATTATTCTGGAAGATTTGGAAGTTTATTGTTTTTGTTGAT